ATCCATATTTCTTATCGCCTTTCCATGCAAATTTTGCCTAGTCACTTCATAACCTTATTCTCACCGTGTAAATTTTTCTTGTTCTTTGTGTTGAACATGAAATTCATTTTAAACGTCTCTCTTTCGGAATTCCATTCCATGAGTGGTGATGGCACTGCCATCATTCATAAAACTTAATCACGCAAGATTATAGAGTTTGACATTAAAAGATATACGGAATTATCCCTACATTTTTTCTGATCCTTGGTATATTTGACCCATCGACTATCGCAATATGCACTTTTCACATATAAGTGGTTATGTAATTCTTCAATCAAAAGGTCATGAAGTGACTAGGCAAAATTTGCATGGAAAGGCGATAAGAAATATGGATGAGAAATTAAAGATCAATCAGTCTGTGTTGAAACTCACACTTTGCTGTGCTCTCAGATACCGTCGTAAATCAGAAAGTGCCCCGATTCCGATCATCTCCTTTCTTTCTAATGCATGAATTGATTCCAACAACAATTTGGATGCCGTCAAAAAGTGTTTTTCCCTTAATAGTACTTCCAATTTTTCGGGTGCACCCTTGAATTCCTCTCTGCAAAGGAAACAGGAAATAAACAAGCAAGCTAATGAAAATAATGTTTGTCAGATAGGTAGAGCCTACATCAAATCCAATATCCGGATCATTTCTTTATACTGTTGACTACGGAACCACAGCTGAAGTAAATCCGATCGTTTTGATACCAAAGCCTCCTTGCACGTCATATTATGATTATTCATCATCTTCTTTCTATATTGGGGGTATGTAATTTTTTAATCATACCACGCAGATTACATTAAAATTGTGACACGCGAAACACACTTATGCCGAGCAACAATACCTCCAATATTTTGAATAACCCCTCCGAACGCTCCAATTGAACTATTGAATCCTTGGTAATAGTCTGTCAAGTAGAATGTTATAAAGTTTGAGTACAATGCCGAAAATTCGTGAGTTAATCGTTGACAACGATCGCGCACCATCTACAATAAATTGAAGTGCTCTGTCAAGGTTCTTCTTTGTTTGTTGAAAAACTTTATAGTCTTTTCCAAGCGAACTATCATCGAGCAATTGTAACGCAAGAGGCACGGGGTTAAACTAAAAAACAATGGACAATGGACAATATTAAGCTAGATTCTTTGTTGTTTTTCTAACTCTTTGCTCTTCTCTTCAATTGCCATACATCTTCAGCAGTCATCTCTTCCCAATCATGACTTATCTGCTTCATTACAGCTGATGG